ATTTTAAGAAATTTTAAAAAACAAAGCTGCACAAATAAACAAAATAGCAAATGAGATACTTCCAACAAACTAGAAGTACACATGCATCTATGCTAAGAAATTTTGAAGAGAGCTAGATAGTCAACCAATTGGAAGGGATCACTATTTGTACCCATTCCTAAGAAAGATTATTCAACAGAATGTAGAAATTAGTCTAATACCATTAATATCACACTCAAGTAAAATTGTGAAGATGATTTAAAGATGCTAGCAGCATTTCATGGACAGAGAACTGTCAGAAATTCAAAGGGATTCAGAGGTGGAAACTGTCATTGTTCAGTGCCATCAAGTAGAGTATGACTCATAGTGACCCTCTGAACAAAAGATCTGAACCCTGTCCTATCCTGGGCCATCCTCACACATTTTGACACACAAGACCCCACTGCAGTAGGCACTGTGTCAATCCACCTGGTTGAAGGTCTTCCTCTTCTTCACCAGCCCCCCACCCTTCCCAGCCTCACTCATATCATTCTCCATGAAAGAGCCACTCCTAGCAACATGCTCAAAGTATGTGAGGCAAAGTCTCACCATACTTGCCTCCAAAGAGCACTCTGGCTGCACCCTCTCTAAGACATATCTGTTCATTTTCTTGGCCATCCATGGGATGTTAAGAGCTCTTCTCCAACACCACAGCTCAAAGGCATCAATTCTTTTTCTGTCATCCTTATTCACTGTCCAGCTCTCAGATGCACAGCAAGTCATCAGAGACCCATGGCCTAAAGAGATGCACCTTAGTCTTCAAACTGACATCATTACTCCTCAATAATTTAGAGAGGTCCCTCATTGCAGACGTTTCCAGTGCAATGTATCTCCTTATTTTCTGACTGGTTGTACCAAGGATGTTAATCGTGAATCCAAGCAAGATTACAATGTCGACAGTTACAATATCCTCTCCATCTATCACGACACTTCCTATTTATTGGTCCAGTTGTAAGAATCTTTATCTTCTTGATATTGAGAAGCAATCCATATTGAAGGCTGAATTCCTTGATCTTCTGCAACAAGTGCTTCAAGGCCTCCTCACTTTCAGCAAGGTTGTGTCATCCGCATAACACAGGTTATGGATGAGTCTCCCTCCAATCCTGATGCCACACTCCTCTTCATAAGAGTCCAGCTTCATGGATAATTTGCTCAGCATACAGATTGAATAGGTATGGAGATAGAATACAACTCTGACACACTCCCTTCTCAATTTTAAACCATGCCGTGTTCCCCTGCTTTGTTCACACAACAGCCTCTTGGACCAGGTATAGATTCCACACAAGCACAATTATGTGCTCTGGAATTCTCATTCTTCTCAATGTCAGACACAGCTTGTTATGATCCACACAGTCAGATGTCTTTGTATAGTCAATAAAGCACAAATAGACATTGTTCCGGTATTTCTTACTTTCAGCCATCTGACATTAATAATGATATTCCTGGTGCCATGGCCTCTTTTAAATCCTACTTGAACTTCTGGCCTATATAAACCTGTATGTACGTAACATTGCAAAATACGGAAACGTAAGAATATTTAATTGTGCTCACACAAAACCTACACATCCATCAAGAGGTATTCACTGGGAACATGAAACGGGATAATTAATGCTTAAAAACCAGGAAAATTATGTATCAGGATTGCATCCTTTCTCCATAGTTATTCAATTTACATGCTGATCAAATCAACCAAGAAATTGAACTACAGAGAAAAGACAAGGCATCAGGACTGGAAGAAGACTCATAGCAAGTAACATGCAGATAATGGAGCCTCACTTGCTGAAAATGAATTCTTCAAGTACTTATGAGAAAGACTATAGCCTTTAATTGGATTACATGTCAACATTTTAAAAAAATCCTCACAGCAAGACCAATAAGCAACCTCATTATATCAAAGACTGAACTTAAGTATTTCCTTTACTTGGATCCACAGTCAACACCTATAGTGGCAGCAGTCAAGAACTCAAATAATGTATAGCAATGGCTAAATTCAGCCTAAAAAGTAAAGATGACAGTTTAAAGACTTATAGATATGCCTGACCCATGACATGGTATTTTCAACTGTGTCATATGCATAATGGAAGCTGGACAATAAGGAAGACCTAAAAAGAATATCCCATGGGCTGTCAAAAGAACAAACAAACCTTTCTAGGAAGAAATGCAACCAGGGTGCTCTTTAGAGGCAAGGATAGTGAAACTTCATCTCACACACCTTGAGCATGTTTTCAGGAAAGACTAATCCCTGGGAAAAAGACATAATACTGGGAAAGGCAGAAGGTCAGAGAAAACAAAGAAGACCTCAACAAAATGGACTGGTACAGTAACTGTAGCAATGGCTCAACCATATCAGGGATGGTGAGGATGGAACAGGATAGGGCAAGTTTCAGATCTACTGTTCATAGAATTGCTAAGAATGGTTGTTGACTCAATATCACTTAACAGCAAAAAGTATCAATGTCTTTGAACTGTAGTATTGGCAAAGAATATTTAATACTCCATGAACTTCTAAAAGAACATACAAATATATCTTGGAAGAAATATAGCTAGCATAAACCTTAAAAGCAAGCTACATGAGACATCATCCCACAAATTTTGGACATGTTATCAAGAGGAATCAGTCCCTGGAGAAGAATATCATGCTTGATAAAGTAAAAAGGGGGAAGAAGAAGAAGATCCTTAAGGAAATAGACTGGCACAACAGGTGAAACAATGGATTCAAATATAGACAGCAACAACTGTGAGGATGGCACAGACCTGGGAAGTGTTTCATTCTGCTGTACACTAGGTCACCATGAGTCAGAGTGACACAGTAACACCTGACAACTATACTCATTCCTCAAGATGACACATAGGATCAAGAAAACATCAAGAAAGTACATTCCTTGAACTACATGTCAGAGAAATAAGATTAACCATATTTACCCCCTTAAATAAAATACTTTTCATGATAACTATAATTCAAAATTTCATTATACCTGTAGCTCCTGAATGGCTTTTCGCTGTGCTTCAATTGTTTTTCTATTTTCTTGCAACTTATTTTCTTTCTGTTTCAGTTCAGATTCTACATTCACTTTCCATTTCTTGATCTTTTCAGCCTCCTTATATAACTTTGAATACAGTCTACTCATTGGCTCTGAACCCTATTAAAATAGGTTTTTCTAAATTAGGTCAACTGTTCAAAATTAATAATAAAAATTATAGTTTCCTATAGAAAATATTCTTTAAGGTATTAGTTAAGACAAAATTTCTCCTTAGTCCTATGAGCAAACTGAAAAATCCATTAACTCTTTCAAGCTATTAAGGCAAAATTAGCTAGCTTGCTTAAGTTATCTTGCTGAACAAATAAATTACTGCTTGCTGACAGCATTGAATATTCATACAGTATATCCCACATTTTAAAATTCTTCCCAATTAAAAAAAGCTTGGAAGCAGGAATGGTATCAACTTCTAAAATAGCTGGCCTCCAGAAGCTCTATGCACCTGGAGAAATGATGAAAATTATACAAGTACTCAGTTTTTTCATTCATAGGGTCATTATGGGTGGTCTATGACTTGACGGCACTTAAGAACAACAATGAAAGAGCTCAGGTGGCCTAGTGGGCAGAAAGTGATGTTACCAAGCCAAAGGTGGATCATTTTAGTCTGTGGCCCTCAGACTTGGTTTTAATTGTTTTGGTCGAACATTCTTCTAAGTGGTATAGCACTGCTCTGTCCATTTGCTGTACAGAAGTAACTCAGGGTTGCTGTGATGCTAAACACTGTGACACTGATGTGTCAAATGTGAAATGGTTACTCATGGTGGACAGTGTTTGGGGGAGCTCCCCAATTAAAACAAGCTTGGAAGCAGGAGTGGCATCTACTTCCAAAATAGCTTGCCTCTGGAAACTCTATACACTTGAAGAAATCATGAAAGATATACAAGTGTTCAGGTCTTTCGTTCATAGGGTTGCTATAAGTTGTCTATGACTCGATGGCACTTAATAACAACAACATGATAAAACAGCAACAACCATTTAACATTTGAATTAATGAGCAGAGATGATACAATTTCTTTCTTCTAAAGGCACCTATATGTAAAGATAATTAAAGTCAAAATCACTTATAAAAGCCTTATACTCAGTAAAATAGTTTAAAAATGTCTTACACCTATTAATTAAGAGGATTGTATTTTAAAAATATCAGTTTGATTATCTCTTTACAATATGCTTCCATTTTCTTTTTTCTACTTTTGATTTCCACTTTTAAATTAAATTGCCCCTAAAGAAGTGGACAGTATTATAAGCAAATAAGCCTAGGGTTTAATTCATAAATTTAAAAAAAAATAGTTTAAAGGATTTACATTTGAACAAAATTTATAGTTACATATTATAAATAAATATAAATGTATAAATATATTTAGATATTAAGCCAAATTTCTACTTCACCAAATATTCCTTTCTTTGAAAACATGATATATAAAATAATGATAAAATACCCAATTATAATATGCATGAGACGTTTTCTGACCTCAGAATCCAAATCTTTTAGTCCTTCCGGGTAATGACAATTTTCAGAATTATCAACCTAAAAATGAACAAATGTTTTCTATTAAAAAATATTTCTAATAAGATTCCAAATAGGTGTAATAAATAGAAAGGGTAATCAAACAACTTGGAAGTTCCCTCTTTTTCTCGTAGGTATGTGATTTAATACATAAACAGATCTATACACATCTTATTTATATATCTTTTTTTTTAACTGACCTGCTCAAGCATGGGTAAAAAGTTAACTTTTTGTAAAGTTGGATCTGTAAGATAAAATGGTTTTAAATAAATCAAAATTTCATTTTTATTAAGTATTATGACTAGTTTCAAGAGTCAAAGATATCAATATAACACTTATATTTTCAGAAATCAGCAGCATACATAATATTTTTATAAAAGTTGGTCAATTGCTTCCCAGTCTCCTACCTGAACCAATGTTTTCCCCATTTTTTGACAGATTGGTCAGTGCAAATGGCAACCTAAAGTCATCTTCAATACATCTGCTGAAGTTCTGGAAACACAGATGAAAGAGTTCTTAAACATTATGTCTTATACCATTCTAGCAATACACATGTGTGTAATACACATCAAGGTAATCTGAGAAAACACTAAGTTTGTCAAGGGTTTCATTTTATTTGGATATACAACCTATATCCATGGAAGAATTCAAAAGATGTATTATTAGGCAAACAACGTACTACTGAAATCAAAAGATGTACAAATGAGTAAACATGCTGCTAAAGACTTCTATAAAGCTTTCAGAAGCAAAGATACACTTTGAGAAGTTAAGTATGCTTTAACTAACTTATATTACTTTCAGTCAACTCATAAACATGCAACTGACAATGGATAAGGAACATAAAAGAAGAACTTGCTTTTTCATTAAAGTATGTTGTTGTTAAGTGTCAATGAGTCGTAGGCAACTCATAGCAAACCTATGAATAAAAAGACATGAACACTGGTATAACTTTCATCCTTTTTTCCAGGTTCACAGGCTTTCCAGAGCTATTTTGGAAGTGGATGGCACTCCTGCTTTCAAGCTTGTTTTAATCAAGAAGCTCCAGCAAAGAATATTGAAAACCATAGAGAGCCAGAAAAACAAAAAAATCTGTCTTGGAAAATGTATAACCAGGTTGCTCTTAGAAATGAGAACAAGAAAGAATTCATGGTAACAAACTTTATACACATTATCAAAATGAACATATGCTTGGTAGTTGTTGCTGTTAAGTGTCCTCAAGTCAGAATCAATTCTTAGTTTACAGGACCCAGCAGTGGGTTTTTAGAGGCTGTACATTGCAAAGAAGAATGACTGTCTTTCTCCTATGAAGCGGATAGAGGATTTGAATCCTGTGCCTGTGATCTAGCAGTGCAATTCCTTACTCACTAAGCCACCAACTAGGATCAGCAAGAAAAGAGAAAGATTCTCAATGAGATAAGTTAACACAGTGGCCCAAACACAGAACTGTGAGGATGGCAGTGCTTCATTACTGTTGTAAACAGGTTTGTTATGAACTGAAACCAACTTGACTGCACACATATCTGCTTAAATAATTAACTGTTATACTAAAACTTTCAATGTACTTGTAATGTCTTTAAAAATCAATTGAACGCTTTAGCTATGCAAGCAAAACAAAAATTCTAACTAGATGCTTTTAATTATAAGGTTAAGTCAAACTACATGTTATTCTAAATATTTGAGGATATTACAGTTTTAACTAGTAGTTTAGAATATTAGAAATTTCTCCAATTTCATTATGACTTTTCCCCTATATAGAACTGAGAAGTATTTACTGAAATGCATTTTAATGTTACATCATTAGCAATAGCAGCGATAAAAAACTTTCTATAGCATATAAAATTAAAATATATTATTCCACTTACAATATGAAAAAAGGCAAATGTGAAGTTCAGCTGCAACTCTAACTTTTAAGCCATATTAGTAATTCAGTAGAAACTTGTAATCTCTTTTTCCTTGGTTCTAAGTTTCTCCTCATTTACATTTCATGATTTCATGATACATGACTAATACAATGCCTCAAATCGCTTAAAACAAAGAGGGGGATTTTTCACAACTAGGTTCCATTCCGTGAGGTGACAACAGTCATGTTTATCTGAATGACGCCATTCAAGGCAACGGCATTTAAAATTCTTGAGCAAGTCAGACTATATTTGCTGAAAATCATTATAACATACTTTGAGCTGTGGTGCTGGAGAAGAGTACTGAGAATACCACGGACTGCTAGGAAAACAAACAGATTTGTCCTAGAAAGTGTTAAACCGGGTGGCTCCTTGGAGGCAAGGATTCTGAGGCTCCGTCTAACATACTTTGGACATGTTGTGAGGAGAGACAGGTCCTTAGAGAGGGACATCATGCTTGGGAGGGTGGAGGGACGGCGCAGAAGAGGAAGGCCCTCTATGAGGTGGATTGATTCAGTGACTGGGATAATCGGGATGAGAGTGTCAGAGACAGTGAGTGAGATTGGCACAGGACAGAGCGGAGTTTAGGGCTGTTGTACATATAGGGTCGCTATGAGTCGCAGGCGACTCGACGGCATATAACAACAACAGCATCACTACGAAGATAAATAAACCTTGCTCCATGAAAGAAGAGTTAAGAAGAATCAAATCAATCTTGATATGCAAAATTACCTTGAAGAAATTAGCATCTCCTCCCAAGGTCTGCGGTTTCACTGCAGACACCTGACTACTGTTTAATCTCGGTGGCACAAACAATTTAAAGGGTTTTTGCTTTTCCATTTTTCTCTCTTCCATCTGCCAAAAAGGGAGAGAAGGTTTTTACCCGGATTCTTCCACAGCTTGCTAGAAGACTTGGCAAGCTCCTTGCCTCCAGCCTGGTACAGCGCATGAACGCTTATCACCCCGACGTCCGCCAAGGGAGCCCCGCGCGCCCACCACCCCACGTCCACCACCCTGAAGTCCACCACGAAAGCCCCGCACGCCCGCCACCCCACGTCCGCTAAGGGAGCCCCGCGCGTCCATTACCCCTAATACCCACAAAGTAAGCCCCGCGCGCCCACCACCCCGACGGCCGCCACCCCGACGACGCCCACCACTCTGGGGTCCACTACCCTAGCGCCTGCGGCCTCGCCGCCCGCCGCCCCGCGTCCGTCACCTCACCGCCCCACAGCCCCACGGTCCCGCCGCCCCGTGTCCGTCACCCCGCGTCCGCCGCCCCACGGTCATCACCCCGCGGTCACCACCCGCAAGCCCCACCGACAGGAGGTACCACAGCAAGATGCAAGCACAGAGAAATTCACTTGTTCAAGTAAAAAGTGAACTTCCCTAAGAAATGCACAAGAGAGCATTAGCTTCGAGGACAAAAAGAAGTTGCTATAATGTGGTGAGGAAGTTAACAACGGGGGGGGGG